GGTATGGTTGTTTTAATTTGTGTACTGTTAAGCAGGTTTGGTGGTTGAAAAATAATACCCGGTTGTTGAGGCTGTTGCTGTTGCTGCTGTTGCTGTTGCTGTTGCTGAAATTGCTGTGGCTGTTGATGCTGCTGTTGTTGTTGCTGTTGCTGAGTAGGGGGACGCCCCAAGATGTAAAAAGGATGCTGAAACTGCTGTGACTGCGGCTGCTGTGCAAAAGGTGAGAAAGTATACGAACCAGAACTTGGAGCTGTGGCTCCACGCATATAACTCGAACCTATTGTTTTTCTTCCTATGCTTCTCATTCCTTCGTAAGCCTTATTTCTATCAAGTCTGTTGGTTAGTACAATCAAGCAAACCCCATAGGGTAGGATATGATTTTACCTCATCAGATCAGACTAAATGTAATTTTTTGAAAGCGTGTAACACTTTCTAAAAATGTGTATTGTGAAAGTGTAGCGAGGGCCAACGCAGCAAGGTCAGCGTCGAAGCGCTACTCACCCTCTTTTGCCTACAAAAGAGGGACGTGAGGCCATTCGACCTCACCCACGTTCTTCATTTCTAGTTCCAGTTTCGTTTTCCAGTTCTCGTCCTAGTTCTAGTTTCCTTTTTCTCGCCCAAGCTGGCGAAAACCCAGTCTCTTCCGCGCTTCAAAGCTCCGACAACGCTCCTCACCGACATTCTGCAGCACAATATTACCGCAATGACTTCGGCCAATTCTGCTCCGGCTCGCGCGGTGAATAACATTTCTACCCCCGCTAACGCCGAGGCGCTCGGAACTTCGCCCGGGGGAACCGACCGACGTCAGAAACGTCCTGCTGAGGACAATTTTGGCGAGGGCCCCTCGGCAGTCGAGATTCTGCTCGGCGGCAGTCACGCTGCTCCAGAAGAAACTCGCGCGGCTGCAAAGCAGCCGCGCGTGCAGGCAACGGAAGTCCACGCGCCAGCCCGAGGCGCGTCGCCTGCAGGCCAGGCGGGCCCCACCACCCAGCACGCGCCTGCCGCCGACCCCGCGCCAACCGCCGCCGCCCCCGCCTTGACTGCGCACCAGCTGCAAGCGCTTTTGGCGCTGTTACAGCAGCAAGCTCCTGCTGTTACAGTCGGAACCTCATCCGATAACGCTGCACCTACGACCAATTTTAACAAAAAGAAAGAAATGGCTACCCATCCTCGCACGCCCAAGGCTCCCCGCGCCGACGACCAGCCCCCGGCACCAACTCCCGCACCCGCTGACAACCCCGATGTCAGCGACGACTCCGAAAATGACGATGGTGAGGGTCCCGCCAACATTGCTCGTCGTCGCATCCTCGCACCCGCCCCCCCCCTTCCCCCCTTGGCCCCACGCCCGCAGCTACTACCTTCATGCGCAAGGGCGTACGCGACCAGGCCGAGGTCTTCACTGCCATCGAAGCGTACCTGAAGCATATCGACTTCAAGCTGCAGCACGGCGACGTCGTCGGCGCACTCAACAACGTAAAGGATATCGAAATACTTATTAATAAGCGTTTCCAAGTCCTTCTCGTTGCGGACGAAGCCGGTTTCGAGGCCGCCGACCGGTTCCAACTCTATCAGTCCAAAAGTGTCCTGACATCCCGCTCCTACAAGCTGGCGGTCGCGGATGTGGCAGCGCTCAAGCGTGCACGCCTCGGCTATACGCGCGGCGGCCGTCCCGGTGGTCGCGACACGGACTCGGACATCAAGGGCTCCCCCCCTGCTACGTGCCAGCAGCCGCGCTTCAAGGGAGTCTGCTTTCGCTGTGGCCAACCAGGCCACATGGTCAATGCATGCCACATGGGAGTGCGTGGTGCGCAAGGTCCCTCACCGGTGGTGTGAGCGGTTGATAGGGCGGCGCCCTTTCCCACATGCAAGAGGCATAGTGGGTTGCACGGTAGGTGCATGGCCGGTGGCCAGCCTTTTGCCAAAGTCAAGGAGTCTTCGCTGACTAGGGTGGCCCTTGGGGACAGCAAAGGCTGATAGGCCTAGGCTTGTAATAATTCCTATGATTGAATTAAAGGCTCGACCGTGTCACGGCCATCCGTTTTTTTCAAAAAAAAAAAAAAAAAAAAAAACTCTTGAGGGGGTTGGGGGGAGGGAGGGGGCTACAAAACCCAGTCAACACGGCTGGTCAGCCTTGAGCATGGCCTACAACCCCTCACTTTTTTGTTTGCCAACCACGCAACACGCCCCGAGAGCTAACCATGGAGGCACGCTCGGCACCCAACAAAATGGTGCGCACGCACGCACTCGGAGATGCTCTATTTAAGAGCCAAGGACAGAGTCTAGGAGCTCAAAGCTAACACAAAGAGTGGCCCAAACAAGGAGAGCAAAAGAAGGAGGAGGAAGAAATGTAACTCAACCACCAACGAGCACCAACGTGCTTAAAGAAATGTTCACGTACGAACACAGCACGGAATGTCTTCGCACGCAAAGGAAAGAGGGAAAGAGGGAGATCAAGAGATGGAGAGAGAGAGAAATAGCAAGCGAGAGAGAAAGAGAGAGAGAGAGAGAGAGGGAGAGAGAGAGAGAGAGAGAGAGAGAGAGAGAGAGAGAGAGAGAGAGAGAGAGAGAGAGAGAGAGAGAGGGAGAGAGAGAGAGAGAGAGAGAGAGAGAGAGGGAGAGAGAGAGAGAGAGAGAGAGAGAGAGAGGGAGAGAGAGAGAGAGAGAGAGTGAGAGAGAGAGAGAGAGAGAGAGAGAGAGAGAGAGAGAGAGAGAGAAAGAGGGAGAGAGTGAGAGAGAGAGGAAGAGAGAGAGAGAGAGAAAGAGGGAAAGAGATAGAGAGAGAGAGAGAGAGAGAGAGAGAGAGAGAGAGAGAGAGAGAGAGAGAGAGAGAGAGAGAGAGCGACAGAGAAAGAGAAGGCGGATAGAGAGACGAGTACCCCTTGCTCCTTGCACGCACCTAACACGGCAGTGGCCGTGCGGTCCGAGCATGTCATGCCCCGTCTACACTTGCCCCGCATCGTGCACCTGCTCACGAGCACAGTATCTTACTCCCATCTATGAACCCATGTTTATAATCTCGTATAATGCAGAGATCCCAAGTGGGTGGCCACGAGACGAATGCGATCCCTACGAGCTCGCAACTACAGACAGGGACGTGACCATCATGCGCAGTCGACTGCGGCATGCCTTGCACTGGTGGTGCTCCTGGTGTGACAGTAGCTTTATCCTCTCCATCATCGCTAAAGGGTATTGGCTGCCCTGGAAGAATACAGCCCCCACACCCTTCGAGGACAACAACCATGCCGGAGTCTGCACGCACCTCGACTTTACTCGCGTCACAATTCGCGATCTTGTAGTGACCGGCGCTGCTACAGTGATTGAGAAGAGAGACACACTAACATGTGTCAGCCCACTGAACGTCGTGAAGCAACGCGACAAATGCCGCCTCATCCTTGACCTGCGGAAAGTGAACGCCCACCTTGAAGCCCCCAAGTTCAAGTACGAGGGTCTGAATCGTGTAGCCGAGCTCATCCGCCGAGATGACTGGCTGTTTTCCATCGACCTGAAATCTGGATACCATCATCTCGAGATTCACCCTTCGTGTTGGCAGTTTTTGGGCTTCCAGTTCGAAGGCATCTACTACTCCTTTCGGTCACTGCCGTTCGGCCTTGCAACTGCTCCATTCGTTTTCACCCAACTAATTAAACAACTTGCCAAGCGATGGCGGGCAAGCGGCGTTCGAGTGGTCCCGTATGTCGACGACCTATTATTTCTCTGCGATTCCCACCAGCAAGCGTGCTCGACTCGTACGACAGTCCTCCAGGACCTTAACGCAGCTGGCTTCGTCATTAACGGCAAAAAATCGCACCTCCACCCCTCGCGTCAGCTTCGCTTCCTCGGATTGGAAATCGACTCCACCCGCGGCACGTTCTCCGTCGGACTCGAGCGAAGGGCTCAACTCTTAACCACGCTTGAGGCCTTGATAACCCAAGGACAATTAGGAAGGCATATTCCCGTTCGATCCCTCGCAAGAGTTACAGACATGCTCGCCTCTATGGCCCTAGCACTGGGCGCGACGGCACGAGCATTCAGCCACGAACTCCTGCGACTTATTGCCGACGCAACGTCCTGGCACTCCAAGGTCCTCCTCCACCCAGCAGCGGTGGACGAGCTATGTTTCTGGCTGGCGCAATTCGACAAATTTAACGGCGCCCCATTTCATCTCAGTCACCAGTTCGACGCCGTCATCCACGTGGATGCAAGCGCCCACAGTTGGGGCGCCATCCTCACGCCGCTCCCGGGGATCCCAATAGAAGCAAGCTCCCGCATGCCAGAAGACCTCCTACACACTTCCAGCACCCGAAGGGAACTCGAAGGTGTACTGTGGGCACTAAGAACCTTTGACACCCACATCTCCAAACGGCACGTGTTAGTTCGTGTGGACAACCAGGGGGTTGTATTCATACTGCGCAAAGGCGGCTCCAGCATCCCTGCACTCACACTACTTTGCCAGGCGATCATCGACCTTTGCTTAAAAAACCGGACACGCCTTGCCATCGAATGGATTCCCGGGAGCTGAACGCGCACGCCGACGAACTCTCCAAAGTCCAGGACCGAGATGATTACTCACTCAAATCCCCATGGTTCCGACTCCTCGACCGTCGCCTGGGGCCTCACTCTGTCGACCTATTCGCGAATGTTCACAACGCTCAACTGGGGCGCTTCTGCTCCAAGATTCCTCACCCCAAGGCCACAGCAGTTGACGCCTTCTCGTTCAGCTGGCATGATGAACGCGGCTTCGCGTTTCCCCCCCCCCACCTCATCCCGGCTACTCTGCGCCACGCCCAACGCACCCACGCCGAGTTGACGTTGGTCATTCCCGAGTGGCCAGGAGCCTCTTGGTGGCCCCTACTGCAGCCAGCACCACGAACCTGGGCACGAGAAGTAAAGGCACATATTCCTCTCACTCAAGGCAGCCAATGCCTATCCCCAGGCACACACTCACTCGCCTTTGCTGGTCTCGGTTTTCCCAATAGCCCGATCATTGCGTTGCATGTGACATATAAAATATAACCCCACCGTGCCTGGGCTCTCTGTATTTCAGGCTTATTATCAAAACTACAGACACAGCTACTTCGGGTAATCAGTCATGTCCGCGCGCCATCCACCATAAGGACCTACGAGCCGTATTGGCTCAAGTTCCGCTCCTTTTGCACGAAGGTCAAGCTGAGCTACCTGCCTGCCACAGACACCACTCTAGCGCTCTACCTTGTCTATGCCCTCAACAATCAGGCCACAGTATCCGCCATATCCCTTACGTGCTCCGCCGTCGCATTTGCACATCGGATGACCGGAGAACCCTCTCCCACTAGCGGGCCTTTCACTTCACAAGTTCGTGAATTCTCCAAACGCCACGGCCCGTGCACCACCAGGACGAAGGAACCCTTGTCGCTCCACCAGGTGCACGCCATGGCACACCCCTTCCTTGAGTCGAGCAGCCCGGCAGAATATCAGAAAGGACTGATCCCACTCCTCATGTTCGCGGCATTCCTCCGCTACTCCGACCTCGTCTCCATCCAGTGGAACGACATCCACTTCGACGAGGAGTCTATGTGGATCCTAATCCCGCACTCCAAGACGGATCAAGACGGCAAGGGCTCATGGATCCCAGTTGCTCCCACAACTCGGCCTTACTGCCCAGTCCGTTGCACCCAACGGTTTCTGCAACTTGCGGGACACCCCACCACCCCGCATGGACCATTGATCCGTGTCTTCGGCACCAGCGGCAGGGCAACCCCTCACGACAGCGCTCCGTCATGCACAACCATCCGCAACTGGTGCCCCGAAGCCTTCGCCAAGGCTGGGCTTGACAACAGACACCTCGGCACTCACTCCTTCCGCAAGGGCGCCGCAACTGCGGCAGCTAACTTGGGGATCCCTGACCGGCTCTTCAAGCGACTCGGTCGCTGGCGCAGCGATACGGCCAAAGATCTCTACGTCACCATTGCGCAGGACCAGCTCCTTGCGGCATCCACACGCATCCAAGACGCGTCCGCCGCTCCATCGCCCAGACATCACCAGCTCTCCATCGAGCGACACCGCCAGCCCCTGCTTCACATGCCTCAGAAGACCCATATGAAATGAAGCACGCTGCCTTTGCCAAGGTGACCCAAGCAAGCTTTCACAATCTAATGGATTCTCTGAAAGTTTGGATTTAACCACTTCGGGCACCCAAGCTAAGCCCTTTATTATACTGATGTTAATAAAATTTTGCATGACAGAAGACCCCGATTCAGGAGTCACCTCACTTGTTGAGCCTTCTCTTCCAGTGCCACCACTGCCAGGGGGGAAAGGGAAGGATAGAGAGAGAACCACAGAAATGAGAACAACAGGAATGAGAAGCACAGGAATGAGAACAACAGGAATGAGAACAATAGGAATGAGAACAATAGGAATGAGAACAATAGGAATGAGAATAATAGGAATGACAAGAATCGGAACGAGAAGAGTAGGAACAAGAGCAATAGGAACGAGAACAATAGGAATGAGAATCATAGGAACGAGAACAATAGGAATGAGAACAATAGGAATGAGAAGTATAGGATGAAAAACAATAGGAATGAGAACAATAGGAATGAGAACAATAGGAACGAGAACAATAGGAACGAGAACAATAGGAATGAGAAGCATAGGAACGAGAACAATAGGAATGAGAACAATAGGAATGAGAAGCATAGGAAGAAAAACAATAGGAATGAGAACAATAGGAATGAGAACAATAGGAATGAGAACAAAAGGAATGAGAACAATAGGAATGAGAACAAAAGGAATGAGAACAATAGGAATGAGAACAATAGGAATGAGAACTATAGGAATGAGAATAATAGGAATGAGGAGAATCGGAATGAGAAGAATAGGAACGAGAGCAATAGGAATGAGAACAATAGGAATAAGAAGCATAGGAATAAAAACAATAGGAATGAGAACAATAGGAATGAGAACAACAGAAAAAACAGAGTGGCCATGACCATGGGAGTGGCCATCTAAGTGGGCAAATTCGTTGGGGTCGCCCAGCGTTTTGCGTAAATTCGTAAGCGTAAATTCGCAAACGCGAATTTACCTGAAATTCGCGAAACGCTGGGGGAAAATTTTCGGGACAGCCCGGACAAAAAAACACGAATTTCCCAACTCGATTCACGGCGACTTGGTGAAGCCATCCGTGGCCTCGCCAGTTCGCGATTCTAACTTTTGAACCTCCAAACATGCTCCAACCCCTCCCACGCTCCCAACCGCATCAAACCCCACGACATCTAGAGAGCCCAACCCATCCACCACCCAACTTACGCAACCATATCACGCACGCATCTCACACGCTACTCTACCAGACGTAGAGTAGATCTAGCTTATCACTCCGCGTCATAGCTAGAAGATCTAGTTTAAGCATAGACATAAGCCTACCTCATGAGTATGGTTCATCATCTTGCTGTAGGTTGCTGCAGGGCTGTTAATGCAAAGGATACCCCCCAAACTCTAGAACATGCTATTGCCATAAACTTTGAGAAGCAATAATCATTTTCTGCTAAAACTTTCTTGCTTAAAAAGAGTTGCCCTGAAACCCCCCACGCCCCCCCTACCTGGGAACTTTTTTTTTGGGCCTGCCCGGGCATTTTTTTCCTGCCCGGGCGGAACGAATTTCCCAACGAATTCAAAACAGGGCCCTGGCGTTCGGGCGAATTCACGCCAGCGTAAATTCGTTAGCGAAACGCGAATTTTCCCACTTAGGTGGCCATGACCATGTGAGTGAGACATTCTAAAAAGATGCTCCTCGCGTATCCTTGTGACCATGAAATGATCTGACATGCATGCTGCTGGCATTCTCTGTTCTCCTGCCATGCTGAAGTTAATGAGCGGTGAGGGAGGCGATGAGGGGAGGGGAGGGGAGGGACACAAGATGATTGTTAGGGTTGCCTAAGAAGAGAGAGTGGGAAGACGTGAGCAGATTCATTACGAAATGGTGTATACAAGACTTGTTTTAGGGCGGGAAAGTCAAAGGGCGCAACTCGAGCAAATATATATATTGTATAGAAAAGGTGCAATATGCCTCTCACAGCACCACAATGAACTGCACTCAACCTGACTCGACCGCGCTAAACCTTGCACCCCACTATACCGTTGTGCACCTTACCTTGCACCGCACTGTACCTTACTGTCCCGCACCAGACAGCAGTACACCTACCGTGCTCAGGTGTAAGGCGCCAGCCCATGCTGCCTAGGTGGCTTGTGGCGTGTGATGCAGTCTTGCAACTGGGGGGGGGAAGAGGGGAGGGGGAGGGAAAGAGAGGACAGGAGTGGGGGGAGAGAGAGGACGGGATTGGGACTGCTGACTGCGCCTCACTGCACTGCACTACACGGGGGTGGGCACTGTTGCAATATGGCGCCAGCCCATGCTTCCAAGGTGGCTTGTGGCGTGTTTTGCCATCCTGCAACTGGTGGGGTGGGGAAAGATGACGGGGGTGGAGGAGATTGGGTAAGAGCCACTGCACTGCATCGCACTGCTCTGCACGGCACTGCACTGCACTGCACTAATCGGAGTGTACGCCAGCCCATGCTGCCGAGGTGGCTTGCGGCATGCGCTGCTATGTTGCAACTAGTGGGTGGGAGAGACTTGGGGAAGAGGAGTTGGCAGGTGGAGAAAGGGGAGTTGACAGGTGGGGGAAGGAAAGATAAGTACTGTGGTTAGCACACTGCTGAAACCATTTCAGCAGAAGTCTTGAAGGATGCTTGCAGGAGCATTATAACAGGAGCCTAATTACAATCATCGACACTTAAAGCCCGCGTCTCATAATTCTGGTTAAGGATCAAAGGTAATACGCTTGCTACTCTGTAACTTGACTTTCCCAGCAAGCGAGGGCCAAAAGTGCTTGCGAGAGGGGTGTGGAGAGGGTGACCTGTCAAACCAGCGAATTGAACCTGACGGCGCGGACCTTAGGGTTGTAAAACCCTTCTGTTTCTTTGAAACGAGGGGTGGTGACAGATTTGAAAAATTCGCGAGGGTGCCTCGCGAATATTGCTTCGGGCATAATACGAACCGAAATCGCAACCTGAAACTCACCCCAGCCCGAGACTACACGCCCCCTGAAAGTCGAGCACCGAAACCAAACGTATCACGGCCAGCCAGAAATACGAGACTCAGCGCCTTCCCACGTGCTGGCTTCTTCGATTGGTCCCGACATTGATTGTTCCTCGCCACCCTCGTCCAACCCACCTCTGCTTTTCGACCCTCGCCCACCAATCAAGCTCAATACTCCAGGAAAGGAAATACGAGATGAGGGCTTTTAAAAACTAACAGGATGCGCTTCAGCCATCAGAACCAACTTTCACACGGTTGGTTGAGGGTGCTTCAAGCAACTTCCTCGGGGATGGGTATGGCTCCTTCACACGTGCATTGCGCCGCCTAGAGAAGTACTCCTACTTGCACACGGGTTGTTCGGGCCGCTTCACACAACGTACCCTGGGATGGGTATGGCTCCCTTGCACATGATGTAGTTGAGAGCCACCTGCCGGAGCGAGGCGGGGAACAGGGGGGAGGAAGATTTTGCGCATACGTTGCGTACATTCTCTCAACATCCTTTCACATGATGTAGCTGAGATGCACCTGGCAGAGAATGGGCGGGGACTGGTGGGAGGGGAGGATGGCACATGCATGCTCGAGAGTGCTTAACACGACTTGTTAACATCCCTTCGATTTGTATGTGGTTTGGGAGCCACCCGGTGTGGATTGAAAGGGTGGGGTGTTGTATGGTGAGAAGATTTGAGAGTAGTGAACTTTTCATCAGGGAGAAGATATGAACATTTCATAAAGGGATCCAGTGTAACTTGCCTCTTGAGAGCCAACATGCTGTTTCCCTTGAAACCGGCTCTCACCACAATCTTTACCCTAAGAGCACGCTGTGGCACTCAAGGTGGCACTACAGCTAAATCATCTCTTACTCACCTAAGATGCATGCCTGCTGCCATACTTACTTGAGAGACGCTCTTGCCGCCACACTCCTCTCCAATCGCCTTCATCAGTTGCAGCAATGGGCGCACCTGCAGGAAACAAGGGGGGCCGGGACTCGGAAAGGGGCAGTTGGACTTTGAAAGTTTTAGTTTTGAGGCGCCTCAAAACAACGGGCGCACCTGCAGGAAACACGCAGGGGCGGGACTCGGTAAGAGGCAGGTGGACTTTGAGAATTCTAAAAGACCCAAAGCAACCCTTAGGAGCAGAAAGGTGGGAAGAGAAAGGCCAAAGGGAAATTAGGCTGTGGATGGCCAACCCAAGGTAGGAGGGGTATGCAGAAGAATCGGTCTACGCCTCACCAGGGTAGGAGGGTTTCTCAGGGGTGGTGGGGCGGGTTGGGTATCATAGCCTGAAAGTTCAAGAGTCTCCCCAACCCACCCCACCGCCCCGCAATCCAAACACCCCCCTCTGCTCCCCCCCTCCCCCCCCCTCCTCCCTCTCTTCCCCCACCGCACCACATTCCATCGCCTCTCTCCCGTTCTTCTGACCTCTCCCCAGTGCTCACCCTCACAGCGTCCTTGTCTGTGCGTGCTAGAGCCTTGCCAGTGAGCAGGCCGGACGCCAGGGGCGAGTAGGCTATGAGCGACACTTGAAGATCCTGGCAATAAGAGCAGGGGGGGAAGGATGGGGGAGAGGATGGGGCCCGGGGGGGAGAGGATGGGGGGAGATGATGGGTATTGGGAAGAACGGGAGTAGGCTATGAGCAATATTGTTTAGAATTCTAAATACCTAACCCAGATATTTGGTTCTGCTGATGGAGGTCATGCTGGGAAGAGATAGAAGGGAAGGGAGAGAAGGGGGAGAAGGGGGAGAAGGGGGAGAAGGGGGAGAAGGGGGAGAAGGGGGAGAAGGGGGAGAAGGGGGAGAAGGGGGAGAAGGGGGAGAAGGGGGAGAAGGGGGAGAAGGGGGAGAAGGGGGAGAAGGGGGAGAAGGGGGAGAAGGGGGAGAAGGGGGAGAAGGGGGAGAAGGGGGAGAAGGGGGAGAAGGGGGAGAAGGGGGAGAAGGGGGAGAAGGGGGAGAAGGGGGAGAAGGGGGAGAAGGGGGAGAAGGGGGAGAAGGGGAGAAGGGGGAGAAGGGGGAGAAGGGGGAGAAGGGGGAGAAGGGGGAGAAGGGGGAGAAGGGGGAGAAGGGGGAGAAGGGGGAGAAGGGGGAGAAGGGGAGAACGGGGAGAACGGGGAGAACGGGGAGAAGGGGGAGAAGGGGGAGAAGGGGGAGAAGGGGGAGAAGGGGGAGAAGGGGGAGAAGGGGAGAAGGGGGAGAAGGGGGAGAAGGGGGGAGAAGGGGGAGAAGGGGGAGAAGGGGGAGAAGGGGGAGAAGGGGGAGAAGGGGACATGTATGAGGGGAGGCAGGAGCAGGCCAGGGGGGGAAGGCGAGGAGAATGGGATCGGAGAAGGGGCGGCATGTAATGGCACACAACCAACCAAGTCGCTAGAGATGGGATATTCATGCAGACGAGAATATGGATGTGTGCAATCATTACCCCACGTCGCCATCCCATGTCGCCATCCCATGTCGTCATCCCATGCCGCCGCCATCACATGTCTCACCCTGTATGCTTCTCTGTGCTTCCGTCTAGTAGGCTGGCGGAAGGTCTTAATGTAAGTTGTGCTCATATCCCATGTGCGCATGAAACACCTGTGCTCATATCCCATGCGCGCATGAAACACCTATGTGCGAAAAACACATGCCATGCTCCCAATGCCTCACCTTGCACGCCTGGAGGAGACCGTTAGTCTCTGTGCTTCTGTCTAGTAGGCTGGTGAGATGCCAAGGAGAGGGAGGGGAGAGGGGGGGAGAGGGGGGGAGAGGGGGGGAGAGAGGGGGAGAGGGGACAAGAGATGGAGAGAAAGGGAGGGAGTAAGGAATGGAGGGACAATGGAGTGAGGCAAACGCGCATCAAAACGTGAAACAGGAAACGCAGCAGGTTTGAGGTGAGCGGAAGAGGGGGAGATGGGGAGAAATGGTTGTTGAAGAAGATGGGCGCGTGGGCGGGAGGAAAGGTGAGGGGATAGCGGGGATGGGAGGAGGGGAGGAGGGGAGGAGGGGAGGAGGGGAGGAGGGGAGGAGGGGAGGAGGGGAGGAGGGGAGGAGGGGAGGAGGGGAGGAGGGGAGGAGGGGAGGAGGGGAGGAGGGGAGGAGGGGAGGAGGGGAGGAGGGGAGGAGGGAGGAGGGGAGGAGGGGAGGAGGGGAGGAGGGGAGGAGGGGAGGAGGGGAGGAGGGGAGGAGGGGAGGAGGGGAGGAGGGGAGGAGGGGAGGAGGGGAGGAGGGGAGGAGGGGAGGAGGGGAGGAGGGGAGGAGGGGAGGAGGGGAGGAGGGGAGGAGGGGAGGGGGGAGGAGGGGAGGAGGGGAGGAGGGGAGGAGGGGAGGAGGGGAGGAGGGGTTGAAAGCTAAGTTGGTTCCTTACGTTACGTTTACGTACGTGTACGTTTACGTTGACGTACGTTTACGCGATTCTGGTTTTAGGCCTGTATGTACGGGCAGGCTAAAATTTTTCTACCTGCCCAGAAAAAAAAAGAGAGGAGGGAACCCTAGGCAGATTTTTGTATAGAATTCCATTGGCCATTAAGCCTTTCGTAGGAAGATAGAAAACATCCACAAAATACCAAGTTTCCAACAGGTGCTACGCTTATAACATGCAAACTTGCAGATGCTACCTTCACTCATCCATGCTAGGCTCGTCGTCAACGGGAGTGTCCACATACGCATCATCAGGGATGTCGTTATCATCATCGAGGGGCTCATAGCCATCCTTTGGCTCCTCCCGAATCACTGGAAGTTCCGAAACCATCATTTTCTTGGAGAAGTCGTCATTAAGCTTCTTCACCGTGTGGTAGTTGTGGCTTATGTAAACCAAATCCGCAAGACGCTTGGGGCCGAGTCGGTTGCGGCGTGCGGTGTGGATAGACTCCCACACACCCCAGTTCGTCTCGCATGTCGATGCCGACACGCACTGCTTGAGTACCCTGCACGCCAGCTTCGCCAGGTTGGGGCAATCGGAGCCATTCATAATCCACCACTGCACGGGGTCCAAGTGACCCTCCTTGATAAGGATGTGTTCGTCCTTAGCCTTCTGCTCTCCGATTTCCCCCTTCCCTTTGATGTACGTCAACACCTCGCCCTCGACGATCGTGGCCATTGGTTTAATGACATTCCCGACCTTCATAGTCTCTCCCTTGTAGTAGTCGCGCACAAACCGCTTAAAGATTGCGGTGCACTCCTTGTCGTCGTGTCCAAAAATTTTCTCGTATTGGTTGGGTGGATAGAGAATGCGCCCCACCACGTGAAGCGGGCAATTGATGTCATTATTCCACCTATTCCGCACGATCTCCGCAACCTCCTCCTTCTCGGCGCTCTCCAAATCCGCGCACGCCCTATCCACCTGCTCCTCCAAATCGATCATCATTTCGTACATTTTGCCCATGACCTCTTGATTCCCGTCGACTTTCCTCAGCGTCATGTAGACCGGCTTGAGAACGGCAACTACCAGCTCAACGCCCTTCCAGAATCCTTTCCGCTGCACCGTGTCGCGTGCGTCCTTCATTTTGGGCCTCCCCTTCGTGTAATCGTCGAACCCCTTGGTCTTCATCATCGCCTCCAGCGTGTCACGCACCGAAACCAGACGCTCAAGGGCGATGTAGTTAGTCCCAAACCGCGTGCCTGCAGGCTTCAGCACCTTCAGCGAATCCTTTTCCCGAAAGTAGCCCGTGATCCACTGCCCGTTCTTCAATGTCGAAATGAGTTGCTGCGCCTCGTCGATGGTCGGTTTGGCCCAGTCGAGCCCGCCGATGTCCTTCATAAGGAGGCTAAGCGAGTGTGCGGCACAACGAATCCACTGCACCTTCGGATATTCCTCCTTGACCAGGCTGGCAGCGTTGATGTTCGCGCTCGCACCATCCATCAGCACTCCGACGACATTCTCCGCGCCGACCTCCTCAATCACAGTTTTCAAGTGCCCGGCGATGTAATCAGCTCCTTTCTTCTCCGTGCCGCAATCAACGCCAAACAAGAAGACCGACGCGTTGGAGTTGACGGCCAAAATGTTGAGCTGAGGACGACCTTCCCCATCCGTCCATCCGTCGCACGCGATGCTCACTCCAATGTCGTCCCAGGACTCTTTCACATCCTTAAGCGCATTCTCCGTCTTCGTCTTGCACTCCTCAAGAAGGCGGCCCATGATGAGACGACGCCCGGGGGGGGTGAAACCAGTGCCAGCAGCCGCCACCTTCTTCAACATGGTTTTGAAGACCTCGTGTTCAGCCACGTGTGGCGGGATGCGACAAACATGGAAGAACGTCGCAATCGCCAATTGTGCGTTCGCAGCGTCCACCGGCTTGGGACGCCCATCCGTGAGTGTCATCTGCGTCGCTTGCCGCTTTCGCGCGCAACCACTGCTCTCCGACATGTTGCTGCCCGTGTGGCTGGTTGGAGTATGCGTGAACGCATTCATTGTCCTGTGAGTCGCTTTCTTCTTCTCCTCGTCGTCACTCTTCTTCTTTGCCAAGGTAGCCCTAACAGCCTCCTTCGCCTCGAAAGTAGCTGAGGGGCACGCTCTCACGCCGCTATTAGGGGTTCCAAGAATATGGTTCTGCGCTCGGACCACGTTGAATTTCCAAGTGCCGTTGCAAAAAGTGCATTGCTTCTCCAAAGTAGAGTCAGATTTTCCCCCTTCGGGAACCTTGAAGAATTTCCAAACAAAATGGTCAACGGAGTTTGCCATTGCAGCAGAAGTACAATGCAGTTTTTACTTGGAAATTTGAGTAAGAGCAATTGGTGTTTGGAGCTGTGTGGATTTGTGGAAATCAGGCGTAGTTAAGTACCTCTTTGAATTCGTCGTGCCGCGAACCAGTTTTGCGGAAATCACGCCGTAGGAAATTGTTAGGAACGCGTAAACGTGTTTCTGATTGTTTGGGATTGGTTGGCTTGCTGGCTGCACTTTCGTCGCAAGCCACAATCGCCAACTTCTGCCGGTGCGTCGAAAGTCACATTTAGGTGCGACGAAATTTACAATCTGTTGACTGGTTGGCGAAATTACCGCGTGCGCGAAATCTCGTCCCGCTGCTTGACGCGCCGGCAATCCAACCAGTCGACGGATTTGTGCGCGTCAAATCTGACGTGCTCGTACTCCAACCAGTCAACGTCAACCCCTACCTAACCCAACCCAACCCTCCTCGACATTCAATTCCCCTTCCCTCCTCGACGAATGTCAGTCGCTACCCTATCTCCAGCAGCAACTAAGTTAAGTCTAAGTCGCATCCTAGGATATTAGCGCGCCTTCGACCAGCGCGACGACTCTACGTGCGCCATAGTTCATGGCGGGGTAGATCTGCCCGAACCGTGGGCAGCGATAATCTCGGCGTAGTTGCAAATCGCGTAGTTCTAGAACGCAGTTTTTGGAGGGAAAAAAATTGCCCGGGAAAAAATTTCAGGGCCTGCCCGGCGACGTAAACGTAACGTACGCGTAACGTAACGTAAACGTAACGTTACGCGTACTGTACGTTTACGTCACCTAAAGTGACGTAAAGTACCAACTTAGGTTGAAAGCGGGGACAGGAGAAGGTAAGGGAGTACAGGCCAAGGGCTAACTTACTTGGACCTACATGTAACTCTGACAGACTCAATCTACAATAATTCTGACAAATGTAGTTCTCACTTGAATTTAACTTGGTTTGAGGCAAGAGGGATGCCAGCTGCTTTTAGGAGGGTGTGGGCCTCCTGCAGCTGGTGGTGGCAAGGGGAGGGGAGAAGGGTGGAACAATCAAATAAACCCAGAACAGATTGAAGGGGAGAGAAGGGTGTGGGCCTTCTGCAGCAGATGGTAGGAGGGGAGGGGAGAGAGAGAAGAAAAGAGGGGAGCGAGGGGATAAGGGAGGGATGAGTGAGTGAGTCAAGTGCGAATAAGAGGAAGGGGAGAGAAGGGTGTGGGACTCCTGTAGCAGATGGTGGGAGGTAGACATGTGCATATCGCATCGCATATCGCATTATCGCATTGCAAATATCGCATTTTTGCGATTGCGATAAAATTTTCTCTGAAAATTATATCGCGCAATGTGATGCAATATTTATCGCACGATAATTTTCATCGCATTTTTACCGCGCCATGTGCCGCGCGATAAAAATGTGATATGCGATATTACAGTATTGCATGCCATATAATGCGATATTATTAATCGCATCGCGAAATTTCGCCAGGGTTGGGGTTTGGGGGGGGGGGACACAAAACCCAGAAAAACGCGCCATTCAGATTCTCCTCTGCAGAATCCAAGCCCTACACACCAACTCCCACCTCCTACCTAGCCTAGGAACGTTTTCAAATGGAGTTATTTATTGTTTGGTTATGCTTTGCGACAGTCCCTTTCATCAACCCTCGTACACCCTGGATGATAGTTGGGCCCCTATACCACAGGGGCTCGCGCCTGTGTGAACCCTGAGTGAAACCCTTGTTGTGTCTTATTTCTGCACTCTTTTTTCCTGTCCGGTCAAATACTTAGGCTTTTTCCATTTACAGTAAATGCGATGCGATATACCGCATTCGCATTTGCGATATTAAGACTATCGCACCCAAAATGCGATATGGGATATCCAAAAATCAGGGAAATTAATCACGCGATGCGATATTTTATCCCATGCGATAAAATGTGATAAAACAAAATGCGATGCGATAAAATATCGCATCGCATTTTGCTCATGTCTAGTGGGAGGTGGGGGAAGGAGAGGAGAGAGGGGAGGAGAGGGGGGCGGAGGGAGAGTGGGAAGGAGAGGAGATGGAAGGGAGAGGAGATGGGAGGGAGAGGAGATGGGAGGGAGAGGAGATGGGAGGGAGAGGAGATGGGAGGGAGAGGAGATGGGAGGGAGAGGAGATGGGAGGGAGAGGAGATGGGAGGGAGAGGAGATGGGAGGGAGAGGAGATGGGAGGGAGAGGAGATGGGAGGGAGAGGAGATGGGAGGGAGAGGAGATGGGAGGGAGAGGAGATGTGAGGGAGAGGAGACGGGAGGGAGAGGAGATGGGAGGGAGAGATGGGAGGGAGAGGAGACGGGAGGGAGAGGAGATGGGAGGGAGAGGAGATGGGAGGGAGAGGAGATGGGAGGGAGAGGAGATGGGAGGGAGAGGAGATGGGAGGGAGAGGAGATGGGAGGGAGAGGAGATGGGAGGGAGAGGAGATGGGAGGGAGAGGAGATGGGAGGGAGAGGAGATGGGAGGGAGAGGAGATGGGAGGGAGAGGAGATGGGAGGGAGAGGAGATGGGAGGGAGAGGAGATGGGAAGGAGAGGAGATGGGAAAGAGAGGAGATGGGAGGGAGAGGAGATGAGAGGGAGAGGAGATGGGAGGGAGAGGAGATGGGAGGGAGGATTCGTTGTGGTTTGAAAGGTTTCTGGCAGCTTGTGGTGGTAGGAGGGAGTGGGTAGGAGTGCGAAACGGGGAAAGAAGGGGAGAATGGTGGAAGCACGTAGAGGAAAGGGAGAAGGGAGGGAAGAGTTGGGAGATAAGAAGGACTGAAGGAGTGGGGGAGCCTAGGGTCGAGGCAGAAAGAAAATGATCCCTGCACAATGTGGGCTGGGCAGATGCTAATCGACCCCCAAGCTCTACCTGCTTTGTGCTGTGGCTGGCTGGCTGGTTGGCCATGCCAATGGCAGTGGCCAGCCCCTCTGCATGCGCGTGCTGGAACCCGTATCATATCTTGAGACCCAGCATTGCCCACTACCATCCTACCATTACTTAACCCCCAAGCTCTACCTGCTGGGTGTTGTAGTTGGACACGCCAACAGCAGTGGCCAGCCCCTCTGCATGCGCGTGCTTGAGTGCATCCATGAGAGTGGCATTGGAGATCGTGGGGAAGGGGAAGTGGATCTGCAGAGGGATGGGTTGGGCGGTGAATGGGAGGGCACGGGCGGATGGGGGAAAGAGAGTGATATTAGGCTGCTCTCTAATCATGCCTTGTCTGATTATGCCTTGTCTGATTATGCCTTGTCTGATTATGCCTTGTCTGATTATGCCTTGTCTGATTATGCCTTGTCTGATTACGTCCGTCCATGAGAGTGGCGTTGCTGATGGTGCGGTGAGGGTATGATGGGAGGCAAGATGGGAGGGAGGTTGGATCGGGCAGGGAGACGGAATGGTGAGAGGGGATGGCCAGGGTATGGGCGGATGGGAGAGGGGATGGCCAGGGTATGGGCGGATGGGAGAGGGGATGGCAAGGGTATGGGCGGATGGGAGAGGGGATGGCCAGGGTATGGGCGGATGGGAGAGGGGATGGCAAGGGTATGGGCGGATGGGAGAGGGGATGGCAAGGGTATGTGTAGATGGGAGAGGCATGGCCTGAGTATGGGCAGATGGGAGAGATGAGAACGGAGCAAAGATGAAAGCGTGTCTGTCTGCATGCACCTGCTTAGGGCCATCCATCCATGAGGGTAGCCTTGGTGATGGTGGGGAAGGGGAGGTGGATCTGCAGAGGGATCAGAGGTATGGAAATGGAAGGAAGGGAAGTGGGGAGATGATACCGAGGAGGAGGTTAAGGCACGCCTGACTGAAAAGCATCCATGGTAGTGTCAAATACCTGTGCCTAGCAAGCACCTGGTACTTATGAATTAAATACCTGGTACTGATCCACGCTTCGAGGCGCGTCAGAATGCCTGGGAATGGAACGACGCATTGACGACGCACCTGGTACAGATCCACTCTCTCCATGCCCAGTCGCTGCAGGCTGGCTTTAAGCGCATCGATGAGAGACTGGCCGCCGAATCGCAGCCCGCCACCTGGCATGGGGTGGCATATTGGGGTGAAACGGGGGGGGGAGAGAGAGGAGTTGGGAGGAGGAAAGGGTGCATACGGCATGAGTTGGAATCGACTCAAGCTGGTTTTGAGAATTCTCAAAAACACCCGACTCAACTCAACAGTCACCTCTAATTCTCAATGGGAGCAATCAAGGCAACACTAGCAGAACCCAGCGGCTTAACCACCTGAGTGGCGAGGGCGCTGGGGGAACGAAAAGCCGGAGGCTACGTGACACGACGCGGCAACTCAGCCAGGGTTCAAAGCCAACTACCCGGGCTTTACAACGATTCCCCACACTACCAGTTCGTACCTACGCACATGGGATGGCAAAGAATTTGCTGGCAGCTGCAGGCTGCAGGGATGCCATCTTTTAGCTCTGCTCGGTGTCACACGAATCGTCATAACGAATGTGTTGTGAATATTCGTGGGACAACTCGGGAAGGTTAAGCAAAAAGGGTTGGGGATGAAAAGTGGTGTACACGGAGATGGTGATAAAAGGGGATGTACAGTGATGGGTGTTCAGATCGAGGATGGGGAGCAGAGAGGCGCTCCGACAGTTGGCAAGAGGGGCATTCAGAAGGGTACAGCTCAGCGGTGTCAAGAGCGGCTAGGGGGGGAAGGCATGCAGTGAGGCAAGAGGCAGTGTCGATGGCAAAAGCGGCACGGAGCCATCACGGCGGAAGAAAACTCGAAACGGTTCGTGGCGGAAAGCATGGGAGGGAGGGGTAAGCGCTCCTGCGTGAATCTGCTAGGAGGTAGCCACAAAACTGCGTGTGCGTAGTTGTGTAGCTACTTCTGTTTGTTCTCTCGTTAATCATAGGAAAGCGTGTATGCTCTGTGAGTAATGGATTCATTCAGGAGCACAGCTGGAACTATGTAGAGAGGCCAGACAGGGTGGGTGCTGAGTTAAGAAAGCTTTCACGGAGCTTTTCTTAGGAGCGGGAGAAGTCAGTGACAATCACGTATCAGAGAAGGAAAGGGAAGGAGCTGGAGAAGCCGGGGAGGGTGAGTGGGGCCATTGGGAAAAAGGAATGCGACATCGGGTGTGCGGGCTTCTCGGCCAATTGCCTATTTTTGAGGCGCCTCAAACTTGAACTTGCTGGCAAATGCAGGCGGCAGGGCTGGCATCTGGCAGCTGTGTCCAGGTGTCCACGCTTCATGGCCGATTGCCCACCAGTCCAGGTGTACTCCACTGTAATTTCCCCACGCTCCGAGCCCATGCCCACCTACCTACGAGCAGGTTGGTCCACGGGATGGTGAAGAACTTGGACGCCACCACCGGCTGCAGCACTGCCATGCTGCTCCCCGTGCTGCTGGTGCAACCCACGAGATTAGAGGTTGCACATACCCACGAGCAGGTTGGTCCACGGGATGGTGAAGAACTTGGACGCCACCACGGGCTGCAGCGCTGCCGTGCTGCTGCTGCCCTCCCTCAGCCTCCTCTCCCTCTCCTCCGCCACGAACCTTCCCAGAAGCTGCTCGGACGAGTTTCCTGTGGGGATGCTCTGGTAGCCGTAGACCTGAGAATGGAAACGGGGAAGGGGGAAGGGGGAAGGGGGAAGGGGGAAGGGGGAAGGGAAGGGAGGAGGCGGAAGGGGGAGAAGAGGAGCGCATGAGGAGGGTGGTGGGAGCAGCCTTTTGAAGGTTTTGAGGGTTTTTAGGCTTTTGAGGGTTTTGAGGCTTTTGAGGCTTTTGAGGCTTTTGAGGCGCCTCAAACGTTCCCTGTGGGGATGTTCTGGTAGCCATAGAGGAGAGCGTGGAGAGGCAAAAGGGGGGGAAGAGGAGGAGGAGGGGAGGAAGGGGAGAAGAGAGAAGGGGGAAGAGCGGAAACCGGGAAGAGGAAGGGGGGAAGGGGGGAGAGGTGGGAAGGGGATATGGGGCGTTAGTGTGGTGAGACCCTTGGCTCTTAAATAAGAGTCACAACCATAAGACAGGGGAGGAGAGGGAGAGGGAGATGGGAGAGAGGGGGAACGGAGACAGGGGGAAGGGGGAGGGGGAGGCTCTTGGCTTGATAAACGTGAACTTGAGCAGGAGCAGGAGCAGGAGCAGGAGCAGGAGCAGGAGCAGGAGCAGGAGCAGGAGCAGGAGCAGGAGCAGGAGCAGGAGCAGGAGCAGGAGCAGGAGCAGGAGCAGGAGCAGGAGCAGGAGCAGGAGCAGGAGCAGGAGCAGGAGCAGGAGCAGGAGCAGGAGCAGGAGCAGGAGCAGGAGCAGGAGCAGGAGCAGGAGCAGGGAGCAGGAGCAGGAGCAGGAGCAGGAGCAGGAGCAGGAGCAGGAGCAGGAGCAGGAGCAGGAGCAGGAGCAGGAGCAGGAGCAGGGAGCAGGAGCAGGAGCAGGAGCAGGAGCAGGAGCAGGAGCAGGAGCAGGAGCAGGAGCAGGAGCAGGAGCAGGAGCAGGGAGGAGCAGGAGCAGGAGCAGGAGCAGGAGCAGGAGGAGCAGGAGCAGGAGCAGGAGCAGGAGCAGGAGCAGGAGCAGGAGCAGGAGCAGGAGCAGGAGCAGGAGCAGGAGCAGGAGCAGGAGCAGGAGCAGGAGCAGGAGCAGGAGCAGGAGCAGGAGCAGGAGCAGGAGCAGGAGCAGGAGCAGGAGCAGGAGCAGGAGCAGGAGCAGGAGGGGGGGGGGGCAGGAGCAGGAGCAGGAGCAGGAGCAGGAGCAGGAGCAGGAGCAGGAGCAGGAGCAGGAGCAGGAGCAGGAGCAGGAGCAGGAGCAGGAGCAGGAGCAGGAGCAGGAGCAGGAGCAGGAGCAGGAGCAGGAGCAGGAGCAGGAGCAGGAGCAGGAGCAGGAGCAGGAGCAGGAGCAGGAGCAGGAGCAGGAGCAGGAGCAGGAGCAGGGAGCAGGAGCAGGAGCAGGAGCAGGAGCAGGAGCAGGAGCAGGAGCAGGAGCAGGAGCAGGAGCAGGAGCAGGAGCAGGAGCAGGAGCAGGAGGGAGCAGGAGCAGGAGCAGGGCAGGAGCAGGAGCAGGAGCAGGAGCAGGAGCAGCAGGAGCAGGAGCAGGAGCAGGAGCAGGAGCAGGAGCAGGAGCAGGAGCAGGCGCAGGAGCAGGAGCAGGAGCAGGAGCAGGAGCAGGAGCAGGAGCAGGAGCAGGAGCAGGAGCAGGATCAGGAGCAGGAGCAGGGGGTACAGAGGTGGGTGGGTGGGGAGGTGGGCGAGGTGGTCTCATCACATCACCCCGTAAGCAGGAGTGGTTGAAACGTGACATCAAATGCAATGCATGTAGGAAGGTTCAGATCAAACACAGCAGTGGATCTATCTCATGTATTCATGCGACACCAGGCGAGCACCTCAGCAGAATCAAACAGGTTGATGCCGCCCGCCAGCGCTGTCCGAAAAGCATCTGCCACGTCAGCAGCGGAATACTGTTCACCGAATCCAGACCGCGGGTCGCCCCATTGGAGCGTACCGATTCCCAGCGGCGAAACGCGCAGCTCTGATTGGCCGAGAGGAATGAGCGGCTCGGGAAGAGTGGGAGATGAGGAGTGTCCTGCTTAGGAGGGAGTGCAGGATGGGATGAGACACCGAAGAAAGGAAACATACTCACGGGTGGTAAGGCTGATCATAAGACGATTTAGTCGTGAGGCTCGATTTAAGACGGCTCAGAATATGACATACTAGTAAAGTTGCTTTAAAACCTGTTCTGATCGGAAACGCATTTACCTGCGTTAGGGGGTACGTGAAAGGAAAGAGGAAGAGCCAACAGGGGAGGCTAGCGGAACTGACAATCAACTCCTGAAGGATTCTATCTTTCAGGCGCCTAAAAAAGGGTCAGTCAACTTCTAAAGGCCCGTCCATTTTCGCTTCGCCTCGAAAAATGACAATCAACGCCTGACTGAAGGGAAGGGGCTCAAGAGAATGGCGTCCGCCGGAAGAAGTGGCGAGCAGGGTAAGGGAGAGGGAGCTCGAAGAAGTGACTTCTTCTGTCCTTCATTCTGCTAAAGAACGACTATCGATAATCGATTCCTGAAGAAGAGACGAACGATGTGTGGTTTTTAGTCGGCTCCTCGAGCGAAATGGGTCCGCGGGTGGGCGGGGAGAAGGGCGGCGAAGTTACCGGGATCCGACGGGGAGGCGGACGCGGACGAGCTCGGGCTCGCCGCGGCACGGATTCGATGTAAGCATCCCCGTTGCGCGTTCCTCAAATGGCACGGCGCCGCGTGCAGCTGGTCAAGTCTTCGACCACCGAGGCTCTCCCGCGGAAAGGAGACGTTAAGGGATGAGCGGAATGCGTCGAATCGCGCCTCGCCGCGAAGTGAAGCTGGCGTGTGGATGACTGCTGAAAAAGCCGAACACGTGGCGGCCATGCTGGTGACGTAGCAGCAAGAGATTTCCAGACAGGCGATGCTGTACTCGCTGCACCAGCGAAACTGATGGTGCAACGCCTGGATTTGTCGCTGTGCGTCTGGTTGCTAACCGTGGAATAAGGCGGCTTTCATGTCAGGAACTTTGATTGCCGTCAATACGCGATATTGACTGACTCGGCGGAGCGGCCAGCTGTTCCTTTTCAACTTCTGCCTCTCCAGTTTCCAGGCTTGGTGGAGCTTTATATTACTCAAATGCCAACTTCTAGTACTTCCGATAACATGTGCCCTTGCCTTTTTCATATTCCCTGTCCTCGTAAACAGAAACGCTATTATTATTGCTGTGTATAGATGATCATTGTATGCAACTTAGAATTCAAACCAAATCGATGTTTATTGAAAGTGGGAATCATAACAAACGAAGCATCCTCTTACGAACACAAAATTACCGAACCGCGAAATTATTGGACGTGCTAGGAGGAGCATGCACGACATACAATACACCTGTTGTTTTAATTTAGTTCCACGTTTTTTGCACGCGTCTCAAGCCTGTAAATAGGAAATTGTAAAACACGGGCAAACGGGAGCTTGAAGGGAAATCCCACAGTAAACAATGACACCTGGTTACAAAATCTCGCTCATGCACTATATTAGTAGTGACGTCCCAGCTCTGAAACTCGCAATTGTCGATATCGTTCAGACTGCAGCCAATCAGGTTCAGTGTCAACGCGAGTCATGCTGAGAACCTGGTAGGTGAGATTACAATTTTGACTGTTCCGGAGGAAACACTAAAGGAGAAAAAGTGTACAATAATTGCGCGACTCGGGACGACCAGCGACGTCTAGGCCTGGAATCGCAGCAAGGCCATCGTCCCACTGGCGGTGTTCGCTCGGTACTGTAGTTACCAGAAGAGAGGAGTGGCGCTGGGGAGAGTAGCCAAATGTCTACCACGCCGCGGCTTGGTGATGCAAACCACATCTATTCTGCGACGCAGCAATCGTTGGTCCGGCGACTCAGAAGAGATTACTATGAAAAGAGAGCCTGAACGCTTCTTACCAGCATTTCTCTTGTAGTGGCGTGGGCATTTCCCACCATTCTTGCCTGAAATCCCGATCATTTTAGAATCCCCTGTAGGAAGGCTGGCTTTCCTGCTTCTTTCTAAGAACTTCTTGATTTATTTTAAGAAAGGCGCTAGCCGAGCGCTGGCCTGTGATAGCAACTAAACTTGCACTCCTCCTCTCAGTCGATCTCAGGAGCACTCGCGTAAGCCCCGCGCATTCCATTCAGCTCCACCAGCACAATAAAGTGTGTGTTTTAAAACGAATAGAAGTCTCTCGACATGGCAAATCTCAACAGGCTGATCCTGCTCGCTCTCCTCTCCGTCGCCTGCTGCCTCTCACTGCTGCTTCCCCTCGCGTCCGCCGGTCCGCCAAAGCGCGTCGCGCGCACGCGGCCGGCACACGAGGAGTTCCGCCGCCAGCGCCGGCTGACCGACATCGTCGACCGCGGCTCGCGCCCGCCGCTGCACATGTTCGAAACGAAGGCGCATTACGAGGAAGAAAAGCGCGAAAAGGCCGAAAAGGGCGCCGCGACATCAAGCGCTCCAATAAAATACTGGGGCGGGCCCGTGATGATCGGAAACCCGTCCGTGAACGTGTATATAATCTACTACGGCAGCTGGCCGGCAGGATCCGGGCAGAACGTGATCGAGAATTTCATCCGGTCGCTGAGCGCGGACTCGAGCCGGCAGGGGGCGCCGGCGGAGCCCAAGGTGAAGCTCTGGTGGGCAATCAACGCCCCGTACTCTCAAGACGCGGGTGGCGGGAAGACGAACGTCAGCAGGAAGGTGAGGTGTGCGGGTGATCAGGGATTCTAACCGAAGTGATTGTGTTGAGGCTTCGAAACGAAAAGTGAGCGTGTTACAGCTGGCGCCCTCGTTTCCTGTACCTGTTTTCCCGACGGATGTTCAAAGCCATGTCTCGCAACTGGCAGGTGCGACTAGCCGGGACTGTCCACGACAACTACTCGGCGGGAAAGAAATTCGGCGAACAGACGGTTTGGAAAGGTAAGTAGCTCAACACCAGCTCATGTTTGCCATGATTCTTCCCGCAGTGGACGGAATAGGATGCGGTGCGAAATGCTCTGCTTTTGCGAAACCCATCGTCCTGCAAGGCACTGAGCAGTCTAGGGATAAGAATGATTTCCCGTTGATGTACAAGCATCCCGACACTCCAGCAGCAGCAAGATTTTCACTGAAAATTGTCCACTGCGGATTATGTTTGACACTTTTTTATTCCAACCCTGCTCACTGTCGCAGTTGTATCCAAGAAGATTGGCGCTGGAAAGGCGTTTTCGTACGACCCTCACGGTATCTACTTGCTTCTCACCAGCAAGGATGTTACTGTTCCTGGTTATTGCAGCGAGTACTGCGGATGGCACACCATGGACTACATGGGATCGAACCCAGTCATATACTCATTAGTGGGTCACCACGGGCAGTGCGCAGAAGGTTGCGGGGGGCAAAGTACGTCGCCCAACGGGAACCCTGCGATCGATGCGACGGTTTCCACCATCGCCCACGAAATCGCAGAGGCAGCAACCGACCCCGATGCTCAGAACGGATGGTTGGACGACAATAACGAGGAGAATGCAGACAAGTGCTCGTACGATGTTGGTCTGACGAAAACGGGTCGCGACAACCGTGGTAACGAGTACCTGTACAATCTCGTCGGGATGAAGGGCATGCGGTTTCTGGTCCAGCAGAACTGGGACCGGCTGAAGAACAAGTGCGTGTCTCAGAGGAGGTAGGAAGAGGATCTGGGGTGTGACGCTGGCGGCGAAACCTTCCTCAACTCTCCACTTCGGAAGTCTGATGGCTACATCGTAGACAAAAATTATACGAGAATAAGCAATGCTGCAGTGTGCATGCATCGCAGGGAAACGGAGACTCTCCGTATAATAATGCCCGCCAGTAGGGTCTTACGGTGCCAGTAGTTTCCCCACGCATGTAATATGTCAAAATTAGCCACTTTTCCCCTATCTCTCATGACACTTATGAGTCGTTCCCCTCACTACTACATGAGCCAAGCCAATGCTTTTGTGAATTCCTGTTGATGAACCGCAGCACATTCGAGTCGGATCGGCACACAATTTGGTGCTGCAGCAGCCGTGTGCAAGAGATGGACTGGGGGGAAATGTCGGTGACGAAGTTGAGCACTTGCGACTTGACAGTTCGGCAACCAATCAGATTGCAACCGCATCCTCGCTACGAACATTTAGCTAGTATAATTCACACGGAATCACTCATAAGGGGGTGTAAAGCGTGACGTCGGGTGACGTAAAGCAACCATGAAGTGGGTCTGTTATGAATAATAACTTAGAGTGCGCGGAATCATGATGACCAGTACAAGAATGGGAGCCTAGCAATATATAGCGAGAACTCTAGCTAGGGGACGAGCCCGGAGGGCCAGGTTGGGTACAGACGCGGTCGAAAGGGCCGGAGGCGGCGCGAGCCAGCCTCGGGGTCGCGCCGGAAACGGACCGAGCCTGGTCTTCCGAGAGTTCGGGTGTACGCGATTGCCGTACAACCCGGTAAGGAATAAAATTCCTTACACTACCCTCCCCCCCCCCCCCCCCCCCCCCCCCCCCCCCCTCCTAAGGAAGGTGGTCAATATCGGGAACGCCTTTTCGGGTCAAATAAGATTTGAGCACCGAGTGTTCCTGAAGCAAGTTAGAAGTGACCCATGTGTCATCTTCCCTTGTACGGTCGGCCCAGTGGACAAGAAAAACCATATGGCGACATGTTGTGTCGATGCGGATGTGGTGACTCAAAGGCTTGAACGGCTCAAGGGTCGGTTCGGCCATCGGGCGGACACTTGGGACGGCCGTCGATCGGGCGAGTGCTGACATGTTAACAACGTAGGGACGAAGGAGGCTGGCGTGGAATGCGTCGTCAATGCGCCACTCGTCCGGTAATAATAATTTTGTTGTGACAAGTGTCATCATCTTGAGGATGTAGAAAGGTCCACAGAACCTTGGGCGGAGTTTCGATGGCAGGAGCAGGCGGAGGTTCTTTGTGTCGAGAAGGACTAGTTGCCCAGCGGCCATCGTAATATTGCGGCGACGAAGGTCAGTGTAGCGTTGAGCTGTAGTGTTTGCCTTTCAAATAAATTCTATCGCCTTCTCCCAGACGGTCTGGAGGTCGTTAACGAATTGCTGGGACCGGGGCACTGGGTTGTCGATGTTGGTCGTCGTGGGAACGGTAGGATCCATCTCGTAGTTGAGGAAAAATGGTCAGTGATTAGTTGTTGCGGATGGGGCGTTGTTGTAGGAAAATTCTGGCATGGGCAGGAATGCTTTTCATCGAGCGGGGTTGGGGCAGTTGGTGCGTATCAGCCGTTCCATAGTCTGATTGGTTCGCGCTGTCTGCCCGTCGGTTTGTGGGTGGTAGGTAGACGAGAATTGCAGGCGGGTGCCATACTGTTCCCATGTCTCTTGCCAGAACTTAGACGTAAATTTGGGGTCGCGGTCGCTGATGATCGCCGATGGCAGGCCGTGCAGACGAACAATGGTGGAGATGAAGAGCTTGGCGGTTTCTTCGGCGGTGATGGTCATGCGACAGGGTGCGAAATGCACCATTTTCGTCAAGCGATCGACGACGACGAGGACAGCGTCGTTGCCACTTGCGCCGGTCGGAAGTCCCGTGATGAAGTCCATCATCACGTGTTGCCACGGCTTCTAGGGTGGCTCGAGCGGTTGCAGCAGTCTAGCTGGCCGCTGGCGAGAGGACTTCATGCGCCGGCAGGTCGGGCACGCCGAAACGTATCTCTACACATCAGACGCCGAATCTGGCCTATAATAAAAACGGTGAAGTAATTTCTGGGTTTTGTCAACCCCAAAATGACCGGAGAGGTTAGAGTCATGGACTTCCTGAATCAGTAATTCGCGAAGGAGGGTTAAGCGGGAACCCAGAAACGGTCAATGCTGTCTTTTAGGAAATATATTCCCTTAGCCATGGTGGCTTGTTGGTGGAAGTTGCGGGTGAGAAAAGGGTATGTGCTGTAGCCGTGAGAAAAAATAGTCTCGTGAGCAATGGGTTGGATTGTGCAATGATGATGGAGGCGAGATGGGCTGACGGGCGTGTCAGTGCATCGGCAATGTTATTCGCCCCACGTTTGTACGGAATGGTATAGTGAAGTTGCTCTCGAGGAAATCCAACCAGCGAATATGTCATGGTTCAGGTTCGGCAGCACGCGGAGGTACTGTAGGGATTTATGGTCTGTCTGTACTGTCACGTCAGGTGTCAGCGCCACACTTTGAACGCGTGTACGATGGCGAGCATTTCTTTGTCGTGGATGGGACAATTGCGCTTGGCTGCCTGCAACTTCCTGGACTCGTAGGCGATTGGTTGGAGGCCGTCGCCAAAATCGTGTAACAGTACCGCGCTGATGGCGAAATCGCTAGCGTCCGTCAAGACTTCAAACGGTCGAGATGGATCAACGATTCGGAGGACCGGGGGTGACATCAGAAAAAATCTGAGTTCGTCAATAGCAGCTTGCTGTCTCTCCCCCCATTCAAAGGAAGTTCCCTTCCGCAACAGGTCAGTTAAAGGTCATGTTGTCCCTGCCATATTGGGGATAAATCGTCGGACGTAAATAACGAACCCGAGAAAACTCTGCAGCTCTTGTAAATTCGTGGGCGACTTCCAATCGCAGATGGTGGTGATCTTCTTCGAGTCAATTTTAAAGCCTTCCGCTCCGTCGACGTGTCCAATTCCAGTTCGAATTTTAGGAACTCGCACTAAGAGCCCTTGGTGATGAGTCGATTCTGCTGCAGCCGTTTAAAAACCTGGTCGAGGTCCTTGAGGTGTTGTTCCTGTGTCTTGCTGAAGACCGAGATGTCATCGAGATATACGATGACGCACTTGTCAAGTAAATCTCTGAACACGCCGTTCATGGTCAGTTAGAATCTAGAGGGCGCATTTGTGAGGTCAAAAGGCATCACCGTGGACTCGTAGCTGCCGTAGCGGGTTCGGAACGCTGTCTTGTGGCAGTTGTCAACGAAAACTCGGATTTGATGGTAACCGCCTCGCAGGTCAATCTGGCTGAAGAAGCGAGCCCCGCGAAGTTGGTCGAGGAGATCGTCCACGCATGGGATTGGGCAGCGAGATTTGATGGTTCATCGATTCAGCGCCCGTTAATCAATGCACATTTATAGCCCTCCATCTTTTTAGGCATGAACAGAATGGGCGCTGCGAACGGGACGTGCTGGGTCAAATGAACCCCTTCTCCAGTAGGTAGTCCAACAGGCTTTGCAACTCCGTGAGTTCAGACTGAGTCAGCCGCCACTGTGTCCTGACGGTTGGCTGCGCGCCAGGTTCCACGTCAAATTTATGGTCCTGGGGGCGCTCAGGTGGCAATCCGAATGGCAGGTCATACGGAAAAATATCCATGTACTGTCAAATCAGCGCAGCGAGCTTGGCAAGGACATTGGCACTAAGTTTGTCGATATCCTTCAGCGTGTCATCAACCGTTGCTTCGTGCAGATGGACTGTGTACAAATCAGCTCCCCGATTACCCGCGCGCTGGAGGGTGAGGGCGTTGACACGTGTCGACACCGGATCCCGCCCGCACCAACACGGTAGTACGCGCCATCCGTTCGCACAGTGCACGCTGCATTCGCCAGTTGTCCAGTCGATCCTTGGGTTATACTTTCGCAGCCAATCGCATTCGAGAAGGATGTCGCAGCCGTCCAACGTCGTCGCCAGCATGGGCATGCTGAATCTGAAATGGTCGCCACACTTCATCCGCACCATTCGCACTCGTCCCGTCCACCAGTCGCGCGTCGATTTCGGGGAGGCACTTCTCCAATGTCAACTTCAACTGCTTCGCTGTAGTGACGTGGATCAGGCTATGACTAGCCCCACCATCCACAAATAAACTTTTTTTTTTGCCATTCACCTTGCCTTCGGCCAGCACATGGTGATCTTAAGGTTCGCTCCCGTTATTCGCCCGAGTGCGGTCGATAGCATGTATCGGTACCACAACTTGGTGGGAATGCTCAAGTTCGGGCGACAAAGCCTTGTCAGTAGGGGGGCCGTCTGCTACTGAATTTTCCCATTTCCCGGCTTCTCCTTGTCGTTCTTCGTCTTCTTGGGCGCCGTCTTGCAGTACTTAGCTCGGTGACCTGGCTTGTCACATCTATAGCATAGCCCATGAAATACTTCATTGGACGCAGACACGCCATAGATTGTGGGGTGGGGAAATTGTCCACGAAAATGACCAACATCCCTGTTGTTGTTCTTTGCCCACAGCTGCAGTGCATCAGCTGCTGACGCCAGCTGGACAGCCTCATCAAACGTCTTGGGCCGGGATCGCAGTAACTCGTACTAAATGTCAAAATGCAGCCCGCTGATGTACTTATCTCGCCTTTCTGCTTCGCTGAGGTCGTCCAATTGGCCCGCAAATGCCAAGAATGACGCAGTGTAATCTTGAATAGTAGTCACCTGTCGCCAGTTGTGCAGCTTCATACGAGGGTCGTCTTAGGCGGATGGGTGCTCAAAACGAGCTCGCAGAGTTGTGTCCCACTGTTTCGACGTGCGAATCGTGGTCGTACCAAATATCATTTCTGCCTGTTGGTTTGAAGAATCCGAAGTCCCGTCCTTCGCCTGCATCACGCTTACCGGAGTCCCAATCGCCAACTGTCGTCGCCACCAATCCAACGCCGGTCCGCGGAGCAACGACATGGCATATTCAATGTGTGCATCGTCTGTATGCACACTTGCAGCCGTGAAGAATAGCTCCATGCTGAACAACCACCCTTGCGCCGTCGTGGCCTTGTCCAAGGGGTTGAACGGGGGTGGCGTGGCCGGCTTGAGCTTAATCTTCGTCACAATCACTGTGCACACGTCGTCCGGCTCCAACTCCCGTGCGAGTTCATCAAGGATGGTTTCGCTCACCTCGTCGTTGGCTTCTGGCTTGACATCATTCTCTGCGACTCCAAGCGACTCCTGGTGCACTTCACCACGCATCTAGCGAAGCTCGGTGT